CACTCTGGGAAGTCTTCTGTAAAATCACCATTGAATACGATAAGTATTTACGAGAGAATGGTTAGCAAAACACAGGGTTGTATAAGTAGGTATGTGAGAGATGCTGGACCACAAATATTGGAAAGGCACAGGACAGCAACGTTAACGTTAACGTTTCCAATGAGGAAACTGATAGGAATAAATAGCTTATAGAGCACCACTTTTGTGTGACTTGAATGTCCGGCCAGGCTCTAGGGTTCTAAGGCCAGGGTATGTGTCACAAGAACTGTTGCATAAGCAATATCAATGTGAACCTAAACCCCCCCCCCTTTTTTTCCTTTCTGTATTCCCCTCCCTCTATGTTATCTTTCAATGGTATTCTTATGTTTTAATGAAGCTAATAAGGCTACAATTACCGGAGGACAACAGCATAATACGTTTAAGCAAAGCTTTGTTGTCAATCTAGGAAAAATAGTTGTAAATTGTCGTATAGCAATTGTTTACTCTGTTATATGAAAATGTTACAGTTTTGATATTATATGCATTGATAACATTCTGTAATAAAATGATATATGGGGAAAAAAATAAAGATTCATTGTTTGTTGCAGAATAACAATTATTTTAAAACGTTTATTTTTTTTGTGTGTGAATATTTCATATTATCTCTGCAGACACAAATTTAGTTAACCTGGATTAATGGAATTAATTAACCAAAAATGTAAATATTGCATGAATACACAGCTTCATGTTACATAACTAATCTATATCCCATGCTGAATAACCTTTGGAATAGAATGTATCTTAAGTAGAACATGTTTTCTTTATACAGATTGTTCCTCCTTAAGCAAAATATATATATACATTTAAAATCACAAAAATCAGATTTAAAGTGAAACTGTTATGCGAAAAACAATGTACCTTAAATCAATCCCAAATACACTGAATTCACCATATATCATGAAGATACATGGTGTATTCAATATAAAATATAAAGATGTATTCACTTCATTCCGTTCCAGCGCCACTTTATAGGTCTTCATGTTAACCCCTATTGGACTGTCACCGACACCTTAATTGACACCTGGGAGAATTTTTTTTATTTTTAAATAGGTTTTTCTCTTAATCTATACACTTTCTAGCAAAACTGCTAGCACAATGTATAGACTAAATCGTATGTTGAATCTAATGAGCATAATATGTTTGGTGCATGACAGGTACACTTTAAATAAAAGGAAATCATTTAGTTTCAGTAGGTTCAACCCAAAGTTTGGTCTTTCTGATGCATATAAAATGAGAGATTAGGATTCCCCATTCTTCGTACAATATATGGAATGCACTGATAGGCTTCAAACACCTTTTGAGGTCACCATTGTAGGCTATCATGTCATTTATGAGGACTGCATAGAAATTCAGACTTAGGATATATCATTATTTCCCTCTTTCTCCAAATTCACAATGTCTGGAGCTTAACTGGCGAGCTGTAAGGCCTCTTACCAAAATCTGACACTTTGATGTCAAGTTTGCCACAGTCTCTCTCTTCCCATCTATGGGCAACATTGTTGTCATTTGGTTTCGCTCACATCATTCTGACCTTGATCAATTCTAGCATGATGCGAGCCGTGACCATTACCCCTTTTTAAGTATTTTAATTGGGCTCTCTTCCAAGCCACTGCACAAATATGATGCCATTGGTCCTACTTAAACTCTTGTCTCCTTAGGACCATTGTCTTTTTGTTTTCAAAGCCTTTAAGCCCATTATTCTGTAGTATTTGCTTTTCTGGTCCTGACCCAGCCCTGGTCCTAACCCCTGGGGCATTGCACAGTCTTATTTTATTCAAGCGGTTCTGCATAAAATGATAAAAGTGTAAAGTATGTGTAGATTTTCTCCAAAAGTTCCCTTTATTCGGACACCGAAATACCATGCATATCGCTAAAACAAAAGGCAAACAAAAAGTACAGAACTCTGTGTACAAAGGAAAGAGATGTAAATCTATCTGTACAGACAAGCCACTCATGTCTGCTTATAATACAACCGGTCATTGAGAATGACCTCCCTGGCAACTGATAAATGATTCAAGTCAGAAACTGAACATAACTTACAATCTATTACACTGATCCACTTTTAGTACAGGACTTAATAGTCACAAAAAAAAGTTAAAAAAAGAAGGAAATCACCTCTAAAGTGCTCTTGGTAAGTTAAAGCTTATAAAATACTGAGGAAAGTTCTGACAACAATATGGAACAATTTCTACAGCAACATTTGGCTTGGGTTACAGAACGTTGGATGTTTCCCTCTACAGATCATATCAGAAATTCTAACTAATGCCATGTTAGGACAGATTTCAGATCACTGTTTACACAGCAACCGAGCAAGAAAGGGCGGGCATTACTGCAAGACTTGTTTTAGAACGGTTTGTACGATTTCTTTTATTTATAAAGATGGCCGACAGACAGATGCAACATGACAAACACATGAAGATGAATTAAATATATGCAGGGGCGGACTGACCACTCGGGCACTTCGGTCATGGACCGAGGGCCCGAGGCAGTCAGGGGCCCGGCAGCACAGCTATGTTCCAGCTGGAGAGATCAGAGATCTCTCCAACTGGAACGGCAAAAAAAAAAAAAAAAACTTTTTAATTGATAGGTTGTGGGGCCCCTGATGCAGCGCGGGGCCCCACAGCCTACCACTCTCTAAATCCCCCCCCTCCCTCCCATGAGACCTGGCAGCTTCACCTCCCCTCTGCCAGGTCTCCTTCTCCCTGTCCCACGCGGTGCTCTGTGTGATGGGGAGAGGGGCCAGGAAGTGACATCACTTCCTGTTTACTCCTCTCACACAGAGCCCAGCGAGGGGAAGGAGCAGCAGCCTGGGAGAGAGCAGAGGGAGCAGAGACACAGGTAGGTACTAATCACCCCCTCCCCCCTCACTGTCACTAGTCACCCCCTCCCCCCCTCACTGTCACTAGTCACCCCCCACTGACACTAATAACCCCCCCACTGTCACTAGTCACCCCCCCACTGTCACTAGTCACCCCCCCGTGTCACTAGTCACCCCTCCTCTCCCCTCACTGTCACTAATCACCCCTCCTCACTGTCACTGTCACCCCCCCCTCACTGTCACTAGTCACCCCGTGACACCTATGCTTCCCACTGGCTTACTAATACTTACTGTCACTAGTCACCCCACTGTTACTAATCACCCCCCTGTCACTAGTCACCCTGTCACTAGTCACCCCCCCCCTCACTGTCACTAGTCACCCCCCCTCACTGTCACTAGTCACCCCCCTCACTGTCACTAATCACCCCTCACTGTCACTAGTCACCCCCCCCACTGTCACTAGTCACCCCCCCACTGTGTCACTAGTAACCTCCTCCCTCACTCTGTCACTAGTCACCCCCCCCACTGTGTCACTAGTATCCCCCTCCCTCACTCTGTCACTAGTCACCCCTTCCCTCCCTCACTCTGTCACTAGTCACCCCCTCCCTCACTCTGTCACTAGTCACCCTCTCCCTCACTCTGTCACTAGAGTGAGTGGGTGACTAGTGACAGAGTGAGCGAGGGGATGACCAGTGACAGAGGGAGGGATGGGGTGACACAGTGACAGAGTGAGGGACGGGGTGATTACTGACAGAGTAAGGGAGGGGATGACTAGTGACATAGGGAGGGATGGGGTGACACAGTGACAGAGGGAAGAATAGGGTGACACAGTGACAGAGGGAGGGGGTGACTAGTGACAGAGTGCGGGAGTGGGTGACTAGTGACAGAGTGAGGGGATGACTAGTGACAGAGTTAGGGATGGGGTGACTAGTGACAGTCACCATCTCCCTCCCTCTGTCACTAGTCACCATCTCCCTCCCTGTGTCACTAGTCACCATCTCCCTCCCTCTTCACTAGTCACCATCTCCCTCCCTCTGTCACTAGTCACACCCTCCCTCACAGGTAACCCCCCCGTCACTAGTCACCTCTCCCTCACTCTGTCACTAGTCACCCATTCCCTCCTTCACTCTGTCACTAATCACTCCCTCACTCTGTCACTAGTCACCCTCTCCCTCACTCTGTCACTAGTCACACCCTCCCTCACTCTGTCACTAGTCACACCCTCCCTCACTCTGTCACTAGAGTGAGGGAATGACTGGTGACAGAGTGAGGGAAGGGGTGACTAGTGGCAGAGTGAGGGAAGGAAAGGATGACTGGTGACAGAGTGAGCGGATGACTGGTGACAGAGTGAGTTAGGGGGATGACTAGTGACAGAGTGAGTTAGGGGGTGACTAGTGACAGAGTAAGGGACAGAGGGGGTGACTAGTGACAGAAGGAGGGAGGGAGTAGTGACAGAAGGAGGGAGGTGGTGACTGGTGACAGTCACCACCTCCCTCACTCTGTCACTAATAACCCTTTCCTCACTCTGCCACTAGTCACCCCTTCCCTCACTCCGTCACTAGTGACAGAGTGAGGGAGGGGATGACTAGTGACAGAGTGAGGGAGGGAAGTGGTGACTAGTGACAGAGGGAAGGGTGACTAGGGACAGAGTGAGGGAGGTTGTGACTAGTGACAGTCACCACCTCCCTCACTGTCACTAGTCACCCCCTCCCTCACTCTGTCACCAGTCATCCCCTCACTCTGTCACTAGTCACCCCTTCCTTCCCTCACTCTGCCACTAGTCACCCCTTCCCTCACTCTATCACCTGTCACCCCCTCACTCTGTCACCTGTCACCCCCTCACTCTGTCACCTGTCACCCCCTCACTCTAGTGACAGAGTGAGGGGGGGTGTGACTAGTGTCAGAGAGAGGGAGGGGGTGACTAGTCACAGAGTGAGGGAGGTGATGATTAGTGACAGAGGGAGGGATGGGGTGACTAGTGACAGTCACCCCCTCCTTCACTCTGTCACTGTGTCACCCCCTTCCTCACTCTGCCACTAGTCACCCCTTCCTTCCCTCACTCTGCCACTAGTCACCCCTTTCCTCACTCTGTCACCTGTCACCCCCTCACTCTGTGACCTGTCACCCCCTCACTCTAGTGACAGAGTGAGGGAGGGGGTGATTAGTGTCATAGAGAGGGAGGGGGTGACTAGTGACAGAGTGAGGGAGGTGATGATTAGTGACAGAGGGAGGGATGGGGTGACTAGTGACAGTCACCCCCTCCTTCACTTTGTCACTGTGTCACCCCCTCCCTCACTCTGTCATCGTGTCACCCCCTTCCTCACTGTCACTAGTCACCCCTTCCTTCCCTCACTCTGCCACAGTCACCCCTTCCCTCACTCTGTCACCTGTCACCCCTTCACTCTAGTGACAGAGTGAGGGAGGGTGTGACTAGTGACACAGAGAGGGTGGGGGTGACTAGTGACAGAGGGAGGAGTGACTAGGGACAAAGTGAGGGAGGTGGTGACTAGTGACAGTCACCACCTCCCTCACTTTGTCACTAGTCACCACCTCCCTCACTCTGTCACCAGTCATCCCCCTCACTCTGCCACTAGTCACCCCTTCCCTCACTCTGTCACCTGTCACCCCCTCACTCTAGTGACAGGGTGAGGGACGGTGTGACTAGTGACAGAGAGAGGGAGGGGGTGACTAGTGACAGAGTGAGGGAGGTTGTGATTAGTGACAGAGGGAGGGATGAGGTGACTAGTGACAGTCACCACCTCCTTCACTCTGTCACTAGTCACCCCCTTCCTCACTCTGTCATTGTGTCACCCCCTTCCTCACTCTGTCATTGTGTCACCCCCTTTCTCACTCTTTCACTAGTCATCCCCTTCCTTACTGTCACTAGTCACCCCCTGCCTCTCTCTGTCACTAGTCCCACCCTCCCTCACTCTGTCACTAGAGTGAGGGCGTGACAGGTGACAGAGGGAGGGGATGACTGGTGACCGAGTGAGGGAGGGGGTGACTAGTGACAGAGTAAGAGATGGAGGGGGTGACTAGTGACAGAGTGAGGGAGGTGGTGACTAGTGACAGAGTGAGGGAGGTGGTGACTAGTGACAGAGTGAGGAAGGGGGTGACTAGTGACAGAGGGAGGGGTGACTAGGGACAGAGTGAGGGAGGTGGTGACTAGTGACAGTCACCACCTCCCTCACTCTGTCACTGTGTCACCCCCTCCTTCTGTCACTGGTCATCCACTCCCTCCCTCCCTCCCTCCCTCTGTCACTGGTCACCCACTCCCTCCCTCACTTTGTCACCAGTCATCCCCTCACTCTGTCACTAGTAACCCCTTCCTTCCCTCACTCTGCCACTAGTCACCCCCTCACTCTAGTGACAGAGTGAGGGAGGGTGTGACTAGTGACAGAGTGAGGGAGGGTGTGACTAGTGACAGAGTGAGGGAGGGAGTGACTAGTGACAGAGTGAGGGAGGGAGTGACTAGTGACAGAGGGAGGGATGGGGTGAATAGTGACAGTCACCACCTCCTTCACTCTGTCACTGTGTCACCCCCTTCCTCACTCTGTCACTGTGTCACCCCTTCCTCACTCTGTCACTGTGTCACCCCTTCCTCACTCTGTCACTGTGTCACCCCTTCCTCACTCTGTCACTAGTCACCCACTCCCTCCCTCACTCTGTCACTAGTCACCCCCTCTCACTCTTTCACTAGTCACCCCCTCTCTCACTCTGTCACCAGTCATTCCTTCACTCTGTCACCAGTCATCCCTTCCTTCCCTCACTCTGCCACTAGTCATCCCTTCCCTCACTCTGTCACCAGGCATCCCCTCACTCTGTCACCAGTCACCCCTTCCTTCCTTCACAGTGACAGAGTTAGGGATGGGGTGACTAGTGACAGAGTTAGGGATGGGGTGACTAGTGACAGAGAGAGGGATGGGGTGACTAGTGACAGAGTGAGGAAGGGGGTGACTAGTGACAGAGTGAGGGGGTGACTAGTGACAGTCACCCCTTCCCTCTCTCTGTCACTAGTCACTCCCTCCCTCTGTCACTAGTCACTCCCTCCCTCTGTCACCAGTCACTCCCTCCCTCTGTCACCAGTCACCTCTTCCCTCCCTCACTTTGCCACTAGTCATCTCTTCCCTCCCTCCCCCACCCTGCCACTAGTCACCCATTCCCTAACTCTGACACTAGTCACCCCCTCTCCCTCCCTCTGTCACCAGTCACCCCCACTCACTGTGTCTCCCCCTCACTCTGCCACCACTCAACCCCTCCTTCCCTCACTCTGCCACCTGTCACAACCTCCCACACTCTTCCACCTGTCACCTTCTCCCTCATAGACTCTGTCACCTGTCACATATGCATTCACACAGACACTATATACAAAAAGCACATGTAGTCATCCAGACATGCACAAGTACATTCACACAGACTCAAATACAAACATGCATTGATACACAGGTCTTCACAATATACACATCCAAAGGAATGCCGTATTATGAGTTATATTTAACATTTATTTAATGCACGTATATTTGGCCTTCAAAGGGCCTGGGATCTAATTTTGTCCGGGGGCCCCAAAGGCTCTCAGTCCGCCCCTGGGTGAGGTAGTTGGTAAAAGGAATAAAAATAAATAAAATATACTCACAAGTAGAGTGCAAGTCAATCTGCACTCTGTTTTTCGCTTGGGTGGTATAATCCCCACCTTAGGATATGCCAGGAACAGTAAATGAAGTAGAAGTAATAATAAATGTAAAATTATTTATTAGTACAATATATTAAAAACCAATAACGCGTTTCGCCATAGAGGCTTTATCAAATTGGAGTAGTATAGGTACCTGGCTAATAAAGAGTATTTATAGCTAATACAAACATTTAAAATTGGCGCCAAAAAAATGATCAACCAATGAGAATAGTCCAAAATGTAAATAAAGAGTTTACATACAAAAGATAAAAATTGGTATAAAATATGAGTGTATATAAACATAAGATGGTAAGTATGTAAAAATAAATCAAAAACGAGCATTGATTTATATAAAAAGAAGGGTTAAATGAAATATGCATTTTCGTGCGTGTCACGTGACCCGCAATGCACCATGGGACATGTAGTGCCGGGTCACGTGACCGCCGATTTGTGTATATACACACAGTCCGTGCGGCCAGAGGCAGAGAGAACGGCACGCACGGACTGAGAGGCAGAAGGGCGGGTCCGTCACGTGGCCCGCGGCGTCATACAGCAATGATACCCGCGGGTCACGTGACTTTAGCCGCAAGGACCGCTGGGAAATGTAGTCCCTCACTACAAAACAACAGGAACAGAGACAAAACGGAATAAAATCAGTGGCATATAAAAGAATGAAATCAGTGGCATATAAAAGAAACATAAAATTAGCATACAGTTAACATATTTAAATTAACATACATAGATTTGCATAACAGTGGGAAATAAATAAGAAATGGGATACAAATAGCCAAAAGGTGAAATAAAAAGGTAAACAAAAAGGTAAATTGAAAAGGTAGATAAAAATGTTAATACAAATCACATGAGAGGGGCATAAATCAATAAATAAATATGAAAAAAAAAAATTAAAAAAAATTGGAAGTTTATAAGTTATAAGAAATTATAAGTTATAAAAAATTAAATAAGTCAAAGTCCACATTAAGACCTTGGGGTGTGAGGGTTTGCAAGTTATATACCCATTCCATCTCTGATCTACCAAGGATGTTTTTTATGTTACCACCTCTCCAGGGTATTTGGCATTTCTGAATTCCTAGACATTTGAGGAATTTGGGATCTCGGTTGTGGTTAATAAAATGCTTAGATACAGAGTGGTTTAAATACCCATTTCTTATATTCCTACAGTGTTCTGCCAGTCTTATCTTAAGACACCTGGTGGTCATACCCACATATTGGAGGCCGCAGGGGCACTCCAATAGGTAGATAACATTGGTAGTATTACAACCGATGAAATCTCTTATCGTATAGCTTTTATTTGTTTGGTTGGATTTAAAGTTAGTAATTTTTGATTCAGTTGTTAGATCGGTATTTTTGCATACAGTGCAACGTTTACATTTATAAAAACCTTTTGCCCCATCTAAAAATGTGTGTTGAGTATTTTTAGTCACTTTAGTGTAATTATTGGTTAAAATTGTTCTAAAATTGGGTGCCCCTCTAAAGACAATTTTAGGCTGTACAGGTAAAATTTCTTTAAGCAAATCATCTTGTCTTAAAAGATGCCAATGTTTTTTAATTGTTTTTTTAATAAAACCACTTTTATTATTATAGTTAAAAATAATGGGGAGAGTGGGGGTATCTAGGGTATTTCTATTCTTGTACGTTAAAAGACTTTCTCTAGATTTGTTTCTGACTGTGTCTATAGTGCTATCAAGAAGAGTACAAGAATATTTTTTTTCAATAAATTGTTTCTTTAAAACCAATGATTGTTCATTAAAATCATTTATTTGAGAACAATTGCGGCGTATTCTTAAAAATTGGCTTTTTGGAGCGCTTTCAAGCCATGGTTTATAGTGGCAACTTGTCTGATCTATTGCAGTGTTGGTACATACTTTTTTAAAGAATGTTTTCGTATGTACTTTGCCATCTTGGATAAAAATATTTAGGTCTAAAAAATTAATTGAATTAGCACTATATTCGCAAGTCAGAATAATACCTCTACTATTAGAGTTGAGGTGTGATATAAAAGAGTTCAGACAGTCTTCTGAGCCCTTCCATATAAAAAACAAATCGTCAATGTACCTAAAATAGGAGACTAAGTTATGCTCCCAGGCATGCCGTCCCCAGATAGCGGATGTTTCCCAATCCGCCATAAAGAGGTTGGCATAGCTGGGAGCAAACCTAGTCCCCATAGCTGTCCCTCTTTTCTGAAGATAAAAAGAATCATAAAACCAGAAATAATTGTTATTTAAAATAATATTAATACCATCTACAATAAAATCAATCTGAGCAGCTGGAATTTTGTTTTCATCTGATAAAATAGTTCTGACTGCATTATATCCAAGTTGGTGTGGGATAATAGTATACAAGGACGTAACATCACAAGAAACAAGTATAAAATCTGACTTCCATTCAAATCCATCTAAAAATCTCAGTAATGACATAGAGTCCTTTAGATAGGACCTCATTCGTTTAACTGACGGTTGGAGTAAAATGTCTATATACTGAGATAAGTTACACAAAGGAGAGTTTATCCCAGATACTATCGGTCTCCCTGGGGGGTGTTTAGCATCTTTATGTATTTTAGGTAGAAAATAAATAACCGTAATTTTAGGGCTCTTAATAAATAGGTAGTCAAATTCCTTTTTGTTTAAAATATTATCAGTTAAACCTTTTTGTAAAAAAGTAACAAGTTTCTGCTGTATATTAGAGGTGGGATCTTTGTTTAATCTCTCATATACATTTTTATCGTTTAATTGATTATAAGCTTCTTTAATGTACATGTCAGTGGACTGTATGACAAGACCTCCACCTTTATCAGCCGGTTTGATTACTATTTCTTTATCTTCTTGAAGTTGTTTAATGGCTGTTTTTTCTAATGTATTTAAGTTTTGGAGATCGTATTTGTTAAATTTGATTTGATTTAAATCTTTTAAAACAGATTTCTCAAACATTACCAGAGGGGCTGATTTAAAATGGTATGGATAAAATGTGGATTTAGGTCTAAGATTTGTATTGATAAAAGAAGACTGGTCAGTAGATGTAAGGGAACAGGAAGCGGAAGGGTTAATTTCTGAATTTTGTGCTATAAAAAATCTTTTTAGTGTGGCTTTGCGTACAAACTTATTTACATCTAAAAAGGCTTCAAATGGTTTAAAAGAATTTGTTGGTGCGTATTTTAATCCTTTACTTAAAACAGAAATCTGTGCTGCACTTAAAACTTTATTAGATAGGTTGAAAATGCCAACATCTGATTCTTTGAGGGTATTTTTTATCTTTCTAGTCTCTCTTTTTTGTTCTCTTCTGCCACTCCGTTTTCCTCTGGGCTTAGAGTTCTTTTTTTTGCTCTTGTGGGATAGGGTGTATTGATGAAAGTGCTGGGGTGTGTCTGAATCTCTAAAAAATGGTCATCATTTTCTATTTCGGAGTCAATAGACAATAATTGATATCTGTTGGTATGTGTAATAGGGGTATCGGAGTGGTTTTTATAAAAAGTATTAGATCGCTGAGTTTTGGGAGAATGTGATCGAGTGTCTGGACTGTGAGAATTGTAATAGCGGTTAGAAGAATCCTGGTAATTGGATGTTTTGTATGGATTTTTGCGTGATATATATGATGGTGGGCGGTGATATGGCAAAGGGGCATAGTGGGAGTTCTGATTATTGTAGTGAGGTTTAGATCTGTATGGAGAGTGATGAAAGGGTTTGTGAGAGATAGAAGAGTGATTTTTATTAGTATATGAGGATTCGTGCCGTGCATTATGTGTGGTGGCTCTTTGATATTGATGAGACTCTGTTCTTGTATTGGTATGTGAATTGTCAACCATATATCTTTTATTTAGATGGTATGTTCTGACCTGTCGGTTAGCATAATCTTGCTTATCTCTAATATACTTTTTAACTTTGATGTGCTTTGTGTCTGTTTCTATTTTTTCAATTTTGCTTTGAATTAGAACTGAATTTTGTTGATACACATTACTTTCTGTAAAAGGCATAAGTTTTTCT